ACGGAAGTGTCAGGCAATCACAAGAAGCTAACTGTGTTAGCCTGTTAACTTTGAATAGTTGTTCGTGGGATGTTGACCTTTTCCTGAAGCGAAAACAAGCAAACTTAAACGCATCTGAGACCAGATAATGACCCGATATACAACGAGTCTGGGCGAAGAGCGTTTCTGATCTGTTAATTATGAAGAATTCGATGGTTTTAGGTGAGATACTCGCCTTTCTGTAGTTTTCCTGTTGGACACAACAGTCCCGCCCCGGTGACTGCGTAATGAAATGCCCCGCCCATAACCTGGACCCCGAACCAATGGCACACAAGGAAATCTGAAGTGACAGGTGTATTTACCAATCATGAGCATTAATTCGCAGCAGCAAGTTTTTCCTCTATCCAAACGACATTTATATTATTTTTACACTCAAACCTTTTCGCTTCCGTACTAAAACTGAGGGTAGATTTTACTATTTGAGATTAACATCTGGAAGCCTTAAAGTGTTGTACTGACATTGTAAATCACAGCAGTTTGTGGTATACTGGAGTGCAAACTAAATCTAAACGTTCAGGTTAGTCTTACATTGAACTAAATCTAGATTAGATTAGATTAGATTAGATTAGATTAGATTAGATTAGATTAGATTAGATTAAATGCGAGTTATTTAATAAAAAAGCAAAATGCTGCTTAATATCTTATCATGGTTTAGGAGAATCAGAATAATTAAACAAATCTATTTAATATGACCCAGAATGACCAACTGATATAAACTTTATGGTCAAATAACTAATTTAACAAACTCTTCATCTTGTGCAATGTTGCCAGGTATAGGATATTTCATACTACAATGACTGATTGCTAACCTCTAAAGTCCCTTGATGTGACACAGTTCGACTCCATCATATGGCCAAGTTGATTCATTAACAATAACTCAATTATCATGTTTACATGCAATAGTCACATGTCAGTTGTGCTGTTATTCATCACATTGAGATATAATCTGCCCTGCAGATATTATGCCTTGCTGCAATCTTCTGTACACATGTTTTTAAGTTGCTGGTGCAATGATTCCTCATTTGGTGTCCTGCACTCCTAACCCTGCACGTTTTTTTGGGCCATCATCACTAGACCTTGCTGACTTGTCTCAGTAGACAAGTCAGGTTGCTATTTAGGTGTTTGGAAAAAGGAACCTAAGGCCAACTCCACTGACTGCTCAGTGTCAGGGTTTTTCATGTCTAACATAAATATTACCCTTGAGGTTTAAGATAGATAAAGGGGTGAAGGAAGCTATGACTGTCAAAGCAGAGGAGGTCTTCGCTTTAACGTCTGTCTCTGTCATTAAAGGGAATTGTTGGCCTGGCTGAATAGGCGAGGTCTTCTGTTCCCCTGTAAAGGGATGGGGGTTGCGATTATAGCGGGAAGGGATAGCGCTTTTCAGTAGCAAGACAATTCAAAATGCTGTACATGAGAAAAAAAGAAAAGCACATTGAAGTGGCATAGAAGCAACATAAATAATTAAAGAGAATATAAGTGAAAACAAGATAAAATGATAGAAAAAGGGAATATCGCTCTGAAAACCTAGCTAGTTATATTTAGATAGCACTGTCAAAGGCCGCACTAAACAAGAACATTTTTAATCTTAACTTCAAGCAACTTAGATTTTTAGCATTTTGACACTTTTCTTTATGTTTATTTCAGATTAGTGAGATCTAAACACTGCTTTTCCATGGTTGGTTCTACTTCTAGGTATACAAAGTAGATTTATGGCAGAAGTCCTAAGAGGTCTGGGTGGTTGATTCACTGACAATGGAATGTGTTTTGGAGCTAAGCCATTTAGTTATAAGGTACTAATAAAGTATTTCAAAGTCTATAACCTGAGCTATAAAAAGCCAATTGTAGGACCTTATAGGTAGGGTAATGTGCTCCACTTTCTTAGTTTTAGTGAGGCAGCAGAGTTCTAGATCAGCTTCAGCTCTCTGATCGAGTTTTAGCAGAAACAAACAGCTTAAATTCTTGGAATTCCTGCTGATTTTGAGACAGCCATTCCTAAGAAGGAAAAAAATTATTTCAACTACCAAAAATGAAATCTGAGTTAAGATTAGCCTGCTTCTTTTCCTCCTTTCTCAACAGGAGCTTTTTCCTGTCTTCCCTTGTCCTTAACATGTAGGTAAAGTGTTCAGCCTTAAACCTAACAGCTTGATCCTTTCATTGATAGTCCAAGATGCTGTGGTGTTTCTCTAATGTTGTTGAACTGGACAGCACCTCGAAGCTTGAATTTGTTTATCCTTGGAATAAGGTAGTTCTTTCACAGACCCCATGAAGGAATTATTCATGGATTCAGGATTATTTCCTTCAGAAGAAATGAAGGAAATAATCATCTCTACATCATTTCAGTTTGTGCTGCTCTAAAATTAAATTAACTTGATGAAAGTTTCAACAATTCCACAAAGCATTTGTTTTTATTAAGAGCTATTCACTTTAGATTGTTTTTAATTTTCTCCTAATTTAAAATGATTAGTTAATTATTAGTAACATTAACCAGACCTGGGGGATATTTAATTTGGTTGATTGTGAGTGTATTAGGGTTAATCAGCTGTCGACCTTGGTACAAATTTAAATAAAGAAGTCTGTCTGAGAAATGGGAGGTGCTTTATTGGGAAGAAATCAATGTTTAATATATGTTCCAGTCATTGCATTATTTATGGTTTTAATATTGGCAGATTTTGTGAAAACTGTAACTCCATACATATAAGTGGCATTATGCAATTCTGATTAATCCGTCAGGATGGATAAAAGTGTTTATGCGTTTAAAGAGTAGTAATAATAATTTACCAGCACCTGCTTTCCACAAGTTCACAAGTTAAAGCAGAGCAGTATATATGCAGGTCCATCACAGGACCAATATATCCAGATACAACAAAGAAAAATGTATGGAAAATAAACAATACAAAATAATAATGTATCAAAAAATAATTCAACATACTTATAACTATAATGAATTTTACCATTTAATAATTTTATATAAATTCAAAATATTTTAATCATTTTTATCAGATGATTTAAAATTAGACTTAACAAATATGAAAACTAAATTCATAAATTTATCAAAATGGGTATAACATGGGTATAATACTAAAACCTTTCTCTCAGTGGAAGCGAGAATTACCAATAAAGTGATTAGTTTAAGCTGTTTTTTTTAACCATTCTACTAATTTTATTCTATGGAAACACTATATATAGGGTTGCTTGCAAGTCCATTCTATCTAAACTTGACAGTCTGTACAATTCCACCGTCAGGTTTGCCATAAATGCTCCTTTCATTACACACCACTGCGTGCTGTATTCATCTGTCAACTGGCCCTCCCTTCACAAAATTAACTAGTTCATCTTTATTTACAAGACCCTTCTCGGCCGTAACTACCTTCTTTAGGTCACCTGCTGCAGCCAAAGCCTGTCACGTACAACACCTGTCACTTCATCTACAGTTACTTATTCCCAAAATCAGCACTACTTTTGATCTTATTTCTTTCCACTCTGCAAAATAATATGCTCTGCAAAATATTCTTGAACTAGATAGACTAATGTCAATTTCATACTTCAAAACAATTATATCATCCTTGTTCACAGATACTTGCAGCTGCCTCTCTACATAGTTGTGTTTGGGTTTTCTGTTGTGTTTTAAATTGTATTTTATATATGTATTATTAATGTATGGAATTTATTTGAGCCCTACCTCCATTTTAATAAGTGGTTACTTCACTTGTCATTGTAAATAAGAACTTGTTCCTAATGAAAAATAAAGGAATAATAATTTTTTT